CTTACGTTATTAATTTTTTTATTATGAAAAAATATTTTTTTATTTTAATTTGAAGAATAATTTTCAAAATTAATGAAATATGATTCAGAATCTAAGAAGAAGATGACACAAATGTTTTAAATGTAGGATCTTTTCCTTCATTGCATGTTAGGGAATCGGGAACGAGCTGGGCCATGGCAACATTGTCTTAGGCCTAAAATCACAAGGTCAAGTATCGAGCCCAAAATTGCATGTTTATTTTCCTCCTATATCATTTCTAGCCAATCAAAATCAACCAAACACGTAATAAAAATAAGGTATGTTGCCGTTGGAAACACGCCAAAAATCCCCATCCATATATATTAATATGAGCGTAAAAAACACAACGGCTGAGCTCTCTCCATAAACAAGGAAAGAAAGTCAAAATTATCGAAGAAAATTCGAGAAGAAGAGGCCTTGGAATCAACCCTCACCCAATGGCATACGTTGAACGAGGTAAGCGCTCTCAGTCGTTATCGCGATCTTCGTCCATCTACGATATTGTAAATCCTTTTTTAGTCTTTAAGATTTCAGGGTTTTATCTATCCAGTTCTAATTGTGAATTCATCAATATTGATAGCGGGGTTTTTGGTTTGTGATTTTTGTTTGATTGAGTCATTTTGGGAATTAGGATTCTTCTTTTTCAAGTCAACGCTTAGATTGATTTGGAGAAGGATTAATTGTGCCTAAAATAATGAATTGATGCATAACAGATTGACATAAATCATGCTTTGAGATTATTTAATTAGATTGTCTGTTCTGTTGTTGTTAATTTCATTAATGGCGCGGAGTTTGATCACCGTTAGAAGGTCATGCCATAATCTGGTGTTTGGGCTTATAAGATGCACCAACTTATGGTCCTTCACGAGTTAGGCGGGAGTTTAAACCATCTTAAGGTGGAAGGTAATACATGTTTCAGTGAAATTGATGGGATAATAAACCCAAGGAAGATGATGCCATCAGTGTTTTCTCCTGCACACGCAATCTGTTTACTGATATCATTAATTCTTGATCGCTAAACATTAGTCTGTCGGGAGTCTTGTTGTGGTTTTTTTTCAAACTCTTCTTCATTTAAAAATATATCAAAATAATATTTTTTATTTTTTTAAAATTATTTTTGTTTGATATCAGCATATCAAAATAATATAAAAATATCAAAAAATATTAATTTGAAACAAAAAATTAAAAAAAATTAAAGTTTTTCAAAAGCATTTTTATTACACAAAAACAAAATCATTTTTTATTTTTCTGGGGACTGTTTCTAGCTTTTTTTGATGCTGGAAACTTTAAGCGAACGTCATTCTGCCTTTCCGTTATTAGTTTCATTGTTGATGGTCTTCTTTTTAAGCGTAGTGTATCATTTGGAAGTTGATGATGTCCTGGGCTCTCTATAAACTTTTTTCTCATGGTTCTTTTATGGTGTTGTTCGGCGTATATCATATGTGAACATTGGATTATGAAATTAATTGCTTGTAAAACGCACTTTAACCACGTGGCCCGTAATGCAACTGGGTGGCATCATTAAGTGAAAAGAGTGATACCAAGATGAAGCTGTGGCTGACTCATTGCATGGCTAGTGTGGGCAATATATACATTTCTTAATTTTGGTGTGAATTTTAAAGGAAGAAAAAAACATGTTAAGGATTGAATTTGTGGAAGCTTTTCGTCCCTGATTATTAACAGCAATGTGGTTGTGTCCTTGTTGTCAGGTGTATTGAAATCCAAGCGATCCATATGGCGACTGAGAACAATAACTGATTTCTTCTGGGCTATTGTGAATCTCATAGGCGTGTTCTTTTCTACTATGTTCTCGGTAATTCAGTGATTTTCCATTGTTGCTTTGTCATAACATGTCTGTTTTGGTACTTGTCTTCTACCTCTAGAGACTGATCTTCTCAATTTCTTTTATGTCTTAGATGGAAAAGACAGATACTTATAAAAAAGGATCTGGTTCTAGCAAGAAATGGGATGGTGGCCCAGGAGGTCCTGGTAGTGGACCATATGGTGGTCGCCCACGTGGCCCACCCCGTGGACTGGACAATGTTAGAGGGATTGACCATAGTGAGTTAATTTTGCTTGTTTATTTATTTTTGGATATTCATGTGTTCGTTTTTCAACCCTTTGTTGAACACAATTTTGATATCCTTAACTTCCAGGTTCCTTGCCTGCCTGTGGCTCCTGCTGTGGCTAAAGTGTTGAGGTACCTGTTGTTTATTTACAGTTGGAAATATATAGTAATTTGTGTTAACAGAACTTCTAAGAACGTTTTTATATATTGTAATTCTTGAATTTTACAGTTGTTACTGCGTGAGCTTTATGCAAACAATTTGTAAGAAGCTATTGTGATATTTCAGAGTCTCTAAATATGAAGCAGTGACTTTGTTCTTCGGAGTCCACATCCTTCCCGCATAGAGTAGATGATGGTCTACGTTGTCTACCAAATCTTCTTCCAATGGTCATGAATGGTTTAGCCCTTACGGTTCATCCAAACCCCCGTGCTGGCATGTAAGGTAGAATGGGGACTCTGGTTTTGAGTTTGAATTTGAAAATACAGAATTAGCTTATGGCGACTTTTCATAAATAAAAGCAATCAATTCAGAACTACATGAGCAAATTAGGAAGAAATTACTGTGTCCAGGAAATGCATTTTAATCTATGAGGGAAAACGTAGCTTGTCCTGGAAATGCTTTCATTTTATTACGAGAGTAACAGATGGTTTTTCGTTGTTTGTGACGAGAGGCTTTAATTCCATGCACAACAGCCCTTCTGTGATTTCTGTCGTAAATAGTGGAACCTTATGTATTTATTTTTCTGGATACCCATCCGTTTCACCATTTTAGTTGCTCAGCATTCACACTATCCATTTAGTAGTCGTACATAACTGTCACGTGGCGTTAAATTTTCATTTTCAGAAATTATATCCTGGGTCTTTCCGAAGAGAAAGTCATGCCAGTTGCTTCACGGTTACTTCAAGCTATCTTGTTTGAAATCGATGTCACTTGACTTCATGATTTCAAGGGTGCACATGAAATAGCATATGATTGTAGATAGTATACAGCAATTTTAAGACCAGATGCGACTGCGATTAAATTAACTTTTAATCCTTCGGGATATGTGGAATGATCAGCAGAAGGACTCCCTCCAGACTCTTAATCCTACACCCTTGCCAGCAGAACTTTGTAATAATAAAATCTATCCCTCTCCTCCGCCCGTTCATGCATTTCCTTGCATTTAGTAATTTCACCGTGGCTGTACATGTAAAATGACATCTATGGCGTTGCCGAAAAACCTTACTACCAAAGACATTTTTTCTTTATAGATTTGTTCCGGGTAGTTCCTGCTATTTCATATTTTAATAAACAGTAAAAAAACCAAGGTAAACAAATATTAAATTGTCGGGGCAGGAGAGTCTCTCTTTTTCTCTTTTTATACAGCTAAATTACAAATATTCCCTTGGAGCTAAATAAATCAAATCATGGAATCAAGGATATTATGGTCTTTCTGCCACTTTCTTTTGGTTAATTGTTGGTTTGATAAAGAATAATAATATCATTTAATATTTAATTAATATTTTTTTAATTAAAAAAGTTATTGCCTGAGAGGACCCATGAGTTATATAATTAAATAAAAGGTATTATTATAAATTTAATGGAGTTTATTTCAGATCACGGAGATTATGGATTTGATGAGTTAATTTTAGTTAATTCAAATTGATGTAATGGGTCATCATCTTAATATTATTTAAAAAATTAATTATTATTAAAATATTTTTAAAATTAAATTATACTTTTATTATTTATCCTATTTTTTTTTAACTCTAACAATCATACCAGAGAACTGATACAATGAATTACATTTAATAATATCAATAGAGAATTTTGTAGATCTTATTATTTGTCTGCATGTAAAAAATTTTTAGTCCGGCAGCAGCGCATCTCATGGACTCTACTTCTATATATATCATTGCTTTGTTTTAGGGATAGCTCTCCATGCATCAGCTAGCGCAGCATATTCATAGAAACAAAGAAAAAGCAAATTCAATGAGACAGCATCACCATGCATGCCTCCCTGAACTAAAAAAAAAAAAAATCCCCAAAAGATACTCAATGATCACCAGGTTCAACCAGAAGATCAGCTTCGGAACTACTTGCTTTTGATATATATAATAGATTTCACACCTGGAGATATAATTAGTCTGCAAGAAATGATAGCATTACAAAGAGTAATACAACTAAAATAAAAATAAAAATACACTACTATTGCCTTGCCTTAGCGAAGATATAGCAAACAATATTAATGACAAAATTGATATGTGGCAAACCCTAATGAGGCCTGTTCCAGTGACATGATCAGCATGAACAGGGTGTTCTCGATAAGATTCATCACTGAATATGTATTAATTTATTGCTTGATTTCATTTAAACTTTAAAATATGCAGGTTTTCAACCATCAGACATGTGTGCGTCATTTCATCTTTTAATAAAACCCTCCACAGCATAGAGACCACCACATAGTGGCATTAAATATACCAAGAAGAGGCAAAACACAAAATTTTATACTGGCAATAATCCACTCATCTGTAAGAAAAATGAGAAGCAGCTTCAGGTCAATCAGCAGAAGACTGAAAAACAGAATAAATGCAAGGATCATGCTAGTTCTACAAGTCTAAATTAAGTCAAAATGAGGCAATGGGTGCGTGTCAGTTAATGGAAAGAGCAAAAATGAATCCTTTGGACAATCAACGCGCCATTCTCAAACCATGAGAAGTCAATACGGGAGCTGTCACTTATTGCCCGTTCTAAATTTGGGATGATCCTTGAAAGCGGCACTTGCCCCCTTTTATATATATATAGATAACCTTCCATATTGTAATTAATGGCTGCCCTACGAGCTAGGCTTTTTTTCCGTAATAATAATTAATTGTTAAAAACTCGTAAAAGAAACCGAGGGAGAACCTATGAAATATGCATGTATAGCTCGGAGAGAAGGAGCTAGCCTTGAAGTCTCTTTAACCATTTTTATTTGAAAAATAATAGATGGAGACAGAAAGAGTACAAAACATTGCATCTACATTCGAAGAAACAATCCCGGAAGCGTTTATCAGATCTGAGCATGAGCAACCTGCAATCACCACCGTTCATGGGGTCAACCTTGATGTCCCCGTCATCGATGTAAGCGACCCGGATGAGGAAAAGATCACCCGTTTGATCGCTGATGCTAGCCGGGAGTGGGGCATGTTCCAAATTGTGAACCATGGCATACCGAGTGAGGTCATTAGCAAGTTTCAGAGTGTGGGTAGAGCCTTTTTTGAGCTCCCACAAGCAGAGAAGGAACTCTATGCCAAGCCACCAGGGGCTAAGTCTATTGAAGGATATGGAACCTTTCTTCAAAAAGAAGTAGAGGGCAAGAAAGGTTGGGTTGATCATTTATTCCACAGGATATGGCCTCCTCCTGCCATTAATAACCGGTTCTGGCCAAAAAATCCACCTCTATACAGGTTTGAAGCTTTTTGTTAATTTCTCTTACAATTTTTTTTCTTAATTCCGTTCACCATTTTATCTATTTTTTAGAATAATTACATTTCACCATTTTTTACAAAGTCGGTAACGTACAAAATCGGAAGGGTTTAAAAATGAGCAAGCAACCTACCATAATAAAGTCTAACTATTCATGGAATGAGAAGAAAATTTGCAAAGATAAGACGTGTTAGTTTCTCTCGTTTCAAAAATTGTTTTAGCATTAATTGGCAAATCGACATGACGGCATCTTTCTCTGTATGTGTAGAATTTTAAGAAACAATTTAGGATTATATATATTCATAATGTAGTTTTTGTTCTTGAATGTAAGGAGGAGGATTAATGCATTCACGTGATATTCAATGTAATTAGATTTCTGTGCAAGTTCATTTAAAACTAACAATTTTGATTCTAAACAAAGGATTACTGCATTCACGTGATATTCAATGTAATTAGACTTCTGTGCAAGTTCATTTAAAACTAACAATTTTGATTCTAAACAAAGGAGAAAGTTGGTGCTGGCAAGAATATCAATAGAAACATTGCAATGTTAATTTGTTTCGCGGGTGTCATGTTTTCGTTGCAGGGAAGCCAACGAGGAATACGTAAAGTATCTGCACGGGGTTGTAGACAAACTCTTCAAGAGCCTGTCGTTAGACTTAGGGCTTGAAGAGCACGAACTCAAAGAAGCTGTGGGCGGAGATGAGCTGACATACCTTCTCAAAATAAACTACTATCCACCTTGCCCACGTCCTGATCTAGCTCTTGGGGTGGTGGCTCACACTGACATGTGCTCCATAACAATTCTTCTTCCCAATGATATTCAGGGCCTCCAGGCCTGCAGAGATGGACAGTGGTATTGTGTCAAGTACATACCACATGCATTAGTCATCCACATCGGCGACCAGATTGAGGTGCCTCTCTCCCCAAACTAAATGCTCTGAGTGCTTGCTAATTACTATATCTGCTAACAATTCCCTTTCCTTTTACAGATTTTGAGCAATGGGAAGTATAAGAGTGTGTTCCACAGAACCACAGTAACTAAAGATAAGACAAGAATGTCATGGCCTGTGTTCTTGGAGCCTCCATCTGACCTCGCTGTAGGCCATCATCCAAAGCTCGTTAATGAAAAGAATCCCCCCAAGTACAAGACCAGGAATTACGGTGATTATTGCTATTGTAAGCTCAACAAGATTCCACAATAGGTGAACTCAGGAGGAGGATACGAGTGTCGTTTTCTATATTTCTTGTGTTAGCGTAATTGTGTTGCAAGGAGAATCTACCCCTTTAATGACTTTAACAGAAAATTCCTGTTAACATGCGAACATAATATGAAATCTGCCGAATATTTTTACTTTGTGTTAGCGTAATTGTGATACATCTTTGTTTTAGACTTTCAAAGAAATTTCTAACCTAATAGTTTCAGCTTCTAAACCTAATAATTTAAATTGTTAGGTAAAATTTTAATATATGATTTATATTATTTTCTAATATATCCCTAAAATAAAAGCCCTTTAGACTTAAAACTTACACAGGTTTACTTGATTTTATGCTTAATTTTTATCAAATAAATAAAAATGATGAGATTCGAACTCATGATCGTTTGATCATCAAGACTCTAATACCATGCCAAGTAACTAATTCAATCCAATAGTTTAAACCTTTAGGTTAAAATGGTTCTTGGACAGGGGTTAAGATAATTCTTTGACAATGTATCACAACCTTAATTACCAAGCGGTCAAGAGTTCAAATCTCACCATCATTATTTATTGATAAAAATTAAGCACAAGATAATGTGAACCTATACAAATTTCAAGCCCAAAAGACTTTCATTTGAGGGGATTAGTTAAAGAATAATATAAATTATATCCTAGAATCTCACCTAACAGTTTAAGCTCTCAGGTTTATATGATTCTCTTAGAGAATAATATCTTAAGTTATTGAGTTGAGATGGTTCTTTTAGAGAATAATATAAATCATATTTTGGGACATCACTTAACAGTTTAAACTATTAGGTTGATATGATTTTTTGATATGATATCAGAACCTTGATGACCTAGTGGTTACGAGTTCGAATCTCTTCATCCCTATTTATTTTGTAAAAATTAAGTATAAATTAATATGGATTTGTACAAGTTTTAAGCCCAAATGTTTTCACTTGAAGGGATATGTTAGAGAATAATATAAATTATATCCTAGGATCTCATCTAACAATTTAAGTTATTGGATTGAGATGATTCTTTGACATAATATAATAGAGACAATCAACCTCTCTTTATTTATTGAATTAGTTTAGATATCTTTCATTTTGAATGTGTAACTATATATTCACTCTCATTTTGAATTTATAAGAACTCCCTTTCAAAACTTAGCTTAGCTGACATTATTTTTTAAATTCTTCTTATTTGGTCTATATATACTTTAATATTCAGGTTAATTCGGGTTGATCTGGGTTGACACATGAAACCCGGGACTCAATCCCTTAACAGGATTAATCCTTGGATCGGGTTTGATAACTATGATTTAGAGGTTATTCGATAGTTTTTTTTGGTCAACTCTGTTTGTTTTTATGTTTCAAAAATATTTTAAAAAAATTAATTTTTTTTCTTTTAAATTAATATTTCTTTAATATTTTCATATCATTTTAATACATAAATATAAAAATTAAACTTTTAAAATAAAAATATATTATTTTAATAAATTTTTAAATAAAAAATATTTTAAAAAATAAACTACAACTATATTTCCATACAACAATAGACCTTTATTAAGCAAGAGTCAAATTTCTACATCATGTCAAAATTAATATACAGTAAGACAGCATCCAAAAGAGAGATTTAAAAGTAAGCTGACATTGCTATTTGTATCCCCTAGTCCAAACAGGTACGGAGTATATGAGGATCCCCAAGCCAAATGAGATAGCTATTGTCATCAGGGCATATGCATAAGCTCTCCAGTTTTTCTGGCTTTCTTCCATGGCATTGTACTCGGCAATGAAGGTAGAAACAGTACCTAGACAACCCAAAAATCCGAACTGCATGCCTGTTGAAATAGTATCACAGGTTTTGGTATGCACCTGCATCGCCCAACCATCAAAATTTTCAAAAAACACACAATTTATGAAGTTGTATTCTTACTAAAACTTACTCGAGCTAAATAAGGATGGTATCATCACTGGGGTTAAAACAATTAAGGAAAATAAGAATTTAGAGCGGAAATAAACAAAGCGTGATTCACGCCTGCCCTGAAAGTTGAGACTGTGGTACTAGACCTCCATAATGTAGAAATAGAATTAGCCAGGGCTATAATAATAATAATAATAATAATAAATGACTTGCGAAGGCATAGCACATGCAAGTAGGAGGGGAAACTAAGTTTGGTTGGGAGAGCAATAAAATCATACCGCTTTCTTCACAGTAGTCAGTGCTGCTGTGATACAAGCTGCGGACACATTGGCAATAAGGGTTCCGAATGGAACCCATTTCAGAGAACCCGCCTTCCCTAACCCACGCCCATTGAGCCGTGCTAAGAACCACCTGATCCACACCCCTGGGGGTGCAACTATGCAAGCCAGCCATAGCTGAACCCTACCACTGTCGGGGACCTCGTGGTTATACTCTTTCTTGAGCATTGCCAAGCTCACGCTCCATAAAAGGCCTAATATTACCACCAATACCATCAGGACTCGTATATGACGATAGCGGTTGTCCACCCTCCAACTGGCTAAGCATGCACTTCTGTTTGACCTTCCGAGAAATGACTTGAAACATTTGGCTGTACCAATACCCAATTTTATGGCGTATGCTGCAAGGAATAACCCTGCAAAGATACACAAGGAAAAATTAGCCGTTTACCTTCTAATGATCAGGCACAGACAATGTTTGTCTGCCATTAAAATTTTAACAGTCACATACACGAGCAATAGTTGAGTTTCTATACGCCGCTTAACCTACGCCTTACCTTTGAGAGAGCCACATTACCTATGAGAAAGCCAACAAAAGAAAACACCCAATGACCATCAACACTGAGTTCAAGCATTTTCTGATTCCAACCACTGAAAGTTGCAAGACTTCCTAAGTAACCAGTGGTTAATCCAATAGCCAAATATTCAGACACTCTGGATATATCTCCTCTGAAAACAACACCCCACCATCCCATCAAGAACGAACCAACCTAGAAGAGCACACATTACTCATAAGTTAATAAACTTCGTTTTTCGAAGTTGAAAGAACAGAGTCCTCAAAGTATTATTGAAACATTATAATTTATTAATCCATGCATCTTGAAGGTGACAGACAAGTTGTGGTATTCTTACTGAGTGCCAGTTACCACAAGAACAAGCTCTAATTCTGGATCATTCTAATGCAGTGGAGTTTCACCACAGAAACCCCAAAATTCAAATTACATGACAGTTGAATCTATCAAACTCTAATAACTCTACTTTTCCAAACAATATCAAGAACCTCTTAGATTCAATTAATCCAGTAATATGGGAATACCAGGGTCGTTTTTAGAATTGGAATCATCCTGTTTAAGTTCCATGATGAGCAATGAGTAATGACATTTTTATACCATAACAAAATCAACCAGTTATATTTTTGTTAATCTTATTTCAGGAAACTCTTGATCCAACCAAATCAAAACCTCATGAATCCTTATGAAACCAAAGTACGCATTACAAGGAACCAATTGAATGAAAAGCCTCCTAAAAGCTACGAAGATATTCTTTGGCGAAAAATGTTGCTTTTCTGTTCAAAACAAGCTAGATAGCTTATGGATAGAATGATCTCTACTTTAAACATAAAAATGATGAGATGCAAGATCTGTGTGTTATCTAAGTGAGTGAGTGTGAGAGAGAGACCATATTGAAAGGTAGTTCAAGATATAGCGGGCAGTTGTCACTTATCACCACAGCAACAGCAGGGAGCAAGAGTTTCTGTAGCATGTACCTTGTTAAAACCTGCAAATTATGCCATGCCAGAACATTAGTATTTTTTTCATATTAATCCGCATGCAACCCTTAAAGTGCCCCCTTCCCCAACTATGAGCAAATTTTCTTTTTGGTTGTGCACTCCGATCAAGCACAATAATTAATGCCTACATCAATCACCAAAAAACAAGGCAAATGGAAGAAATGGAAGCAACATGATAATCGATTTGAAAGAGAACCTAAATGCAGCATTGCTTTATAGGTTATGGGGCTGCCGCAACGTTTTTCATATAAAACCAATTCAGGATGATGGAATTATGTATTAAACGTTAAAATCGATTCAGATTATTTATGGAACAACCGAAATCAGATTAGAACTCTTCTGCAAACTCCACAAATAGAGTAGAGCAAGATGATCCTTGCGTGCAAGAATATTAGTAACTAATGGAAGAACATGACTGCCGGATGCCTTTTTCAAGGAATAGATTACACTCTGTTGTTAGATTAGCAAAAGATACAGCAGTTGTAAAAATCACTCACCTCAACGAGTCCTCTTCTGACCAATATAGACTGTTTTAAGTAAATGAAATTAGCAAAAGCATAAGAAAGGTATTATAAAGTTTTCTTACTATCAATTTACGGAATCAAAATCCTTTTTTGGGTTATCTGCAAAGAAAGGCATAATAAAGTTTTCTTAGATGCATCACAAATTTCATCCAGCTAGTTTCCAAAGCAATACTTCCTAGGATTAATCATCCCACTTGAAAGATACCCACTCCTTATAGTGATGACTAGAGAGCACCACTTTCCAAAACCACTTATGTCAAGCAAAGGACATGTTCTCATGTTCTTGATCTAGCGTACTATGTAACAATTTCCATGAGGCTATACGACTTCAATTTCAGATTCTATTCTTTTCAAGTGGTCATGTGAGCGTTGAAAACTATAAGCGATGGTAATAATGGAGTTATAGAAGAAATTTCATTAGCTTCCATAAAAATACCATTGGCCTTCTAAGATTTTAGGGGGTCAGTGTTTCTAGCACCAGAATGCTAGCAGGGAATGCAGAAGCAAGTATTCTTGACAAAACTGCCAAAAAAAACCCAACAAAAGTAACACATAAGAAAACAGGTGAAAAGCACCAGAATCCAACTTTACAGGATAAAAAAATCGCTGGAGTTAGGTTACCTTTTCTAGTGCCATTTTAAAGTTTCAGAAAGTAAAAAGAAAAGGTTGTGCATATTACCCCAAGAATTCCAAAAACTGCCAGATACACAAGACAGGACATATACTCGAGTAATGGTGGCAACGCAAATGCTTTCTCTCTGTCCTGGATTTAGCAGCAAGAAATAGAATTATCAGATAAACAAACATGGACAGGTACTGGAAGTTTGATCATGTATCATTTGACAAACAGTCGCTAAAGATAGAAACCTATTCATGAGGCAATAAACCAAACAAATCCTGTCAACAATAATGAAATTCATGCAAATGATCAAATGAATTCTCACTTCTTGTTTTTCCTCGGAGCAGACCAACACATCAATCGATATAGGAGATAAGATTTCTCCTGGCAAAAGTGACACTGGGGATCTAGTATTCAAGGCTGTGGAATCGTGAGTCCGGGACCCATGGGATCGTAATAAAATGTCCTCTGAAATGGGAACCGCCATTTCATTTTCTAATCCCTTGTCAATGGATAACCTGATGCTGCCACTACCAGTCTCTGATACATTTTCACTTTCAGTATCATCATCTACCTCGAATGATAAGCTGCGTGGTAAACTTAAAGAGCGTTGAGTCACTGGAGAGCCCACACTGCTTGTCTGGCAAAATGAACCACTCAGATCGGGTTCCGCCTCAATAGTTTCATGATCCATGACTCCAACTCCAAGTTGCAAGAATTCGTTCCAGTACAATAACTACAAGATTGGCATAAACAACGTTTTGACCACATAATGTAAAACCAAGAGAAACGACAAGATGTGATGTAAAGGCTGACATAGAAGAGGTTGACGAGATTAGCAATTGTTTATAAAAAAAAATAATTGCAATCATATCAAAATAAAAATATAATAAGCAAGATCAGAAAGAAGGATACGACTTTATAAACAAATTAAAAGAAATCCGTGGGCAAATCTAATCTCACGACCAGCATGACCACATTGGCCGTCAATCACCTCATCAAACATGAAGATTTATGCGTTCCATCAAAATAGTAAGGTTGACAATAGAAAGTAGTGCGTAAGAGATTCGACAAGATGTGATGTAAGCATATTAAAATAATTTAAAAAAATTAAAAAAATATTATTTAAAAAATATATATATATTAATTTTTAAAAAAATATTTTTAAAACATAAAAATCTAACATGATAATATCATTAAAAAAATTAGTGAAATAGCACAACTTGACCCAATTGTGCTTTAAAAGCAAGATATGTCAAATTCTAATATTCAGCCTTAACTAGACCGGTTATATCTAGTTATATTAATTACTTGTTTATTTTACACAAAAATTATAATTTTATAAAAAAATTCTCCAAATATGTTTTAAAATTTAATATATATATATATATATATAACTTGTAGACTAAAAAATAAAAATGTCAAAAAGTTATCTTTCGCATATTAATATGCGATTTTGAGTAGTCAAGTGTGAATCTGCCGTATATAAATGAGAATTTGTCTCAAATAAATTATATGGATGGCCTAGCAGTAGGGATGAGCAAAAAAATTTAAAAAATAGATTAAACCGAGAAAACAAAAAAAAAACCGAAAAAACCAAACCATAAAAAAATCAATTAAATGGATTAAAATTTTGAAAAAACCAACCAGTTAAGTTTGATTTCGGTTTTATAAGCATGAAACCAGAAAAACCAAATCGAACCCAATCCAAAAAAACCAGAAAAAAGCCGAGCCAAATCAGAAAAAATCAAGCCAAACTGGTTTAAACATGTTTTTATCCTAAAAAACCAAACTGAACCGGAACCAGTTAGTTTGGACAGGTTTCGGTTCGATTTCAGTTTTTTTTAATTTTGATTTGATTATTTTTTTTATAAAAACCGAACAAAACCAAATATGATCATCCCCGCCTAGCAGATGTATTTATAGACAACTAAAACAAGTTAAGGCCCAAAAGACGGTTTTGTTGTGCCATATTATAACAATAGCTTAAAAAGGTCATAACTTTTGATTTAACCTTTAGATCATACTCAAATTTTTACAGAATTTTCTAGAGGTCATTTCCTCTATAGCAGCCAATGTATCGCTAAGCGGACCGTCAGTTCTTTAGATATTAAAAATCTCATCAAGAAACCTCGCTTTTGACAATTTCAAGATTTTTCATGTTATTTTTAAAATCAATCAAGTAATTTTACTAATCATTATAAATTAGTCAATTGATTAAGAAAGAAATAGCGCAGTGTTACTCTATCATGTTTTAAAAATATAATATTTACTAAATAACATTATTTTAAAATGTAATAATTATTTTGTTATACTTAAAAATAACTATATTATTTCACTAAAAAATTTTGCTCCTATATTTATTTATTGGTTTTTTTTTTGTGTGTTAATTGCGGAATTTAATCAAATTTATCTTACATCGGCATGAACACTATAGCTAAACGATACAAACTAATTGTACTTTCTAAGTCCTAAAAAACCAAAGAGGGGATAGCAACATTATAGCTAAACGATAAAAACTAATTTTATTTTTTAAGTACTGAAAAAAAGAAGAGGGGATTGTGAGAATTTATCTTACATCAGTACCCACATTTTAGCTAAACGATAAAAACTAATTGTATTTTCTAAGTACTAAAAAACCAAAGAGGGGATTGTGAGAATTTATCTTACATCAGTTCCAACATCTTAGCTAAACGATAAAAGCTAACTGTACTTTCTAAGTCCTAAAAAACCAAAAGGGAATTGTCACTATCAGTATCAGCCACGTGCGCTTCAATAATTTATTTATTTGTTTTGGCATAGACTTCAATAATTTTATGCATTATTTGTAAATATTTTTTAAAAAATTAAAAAATTTATGTTTACTTCAAATTAATATTTTTTTATGTTTTCAAATCATTTTAAAATATTAATATTAAAAATAATTTTTAAAAAATAAAAAATATTTTAATATATTTTAAAATAAAATATACTTTAAAAAATAATTAAAACCACACTCAAAATATATAATATAATAAAAGGCATGCAGAGCCCCACACTGATTTGACTCTGCTTAAGTTCTAACAGCAAATGAAATTGCTAAAAGTTCATCTATAAAGTGCAGCTTGCTTTCCATGGCCTTTTTTGACGTTAAAGTAAACTTCAACTGATAAGAGCAATGTTCATGCAAGGATCATGAGACGAGACCTGACGGCAAAAAGAAAACGGAACAAGAAGAAGAAAACGATAGTTATGGAGGGTCAGACGGTGCAACAGCTGTTGCCGTTAATTTTTGCGGCGATTTATATATAGACACGGCCCCACGCTGGGGATGTTAATGGCTATTTACAACTCTTATTTATAGAACAAAATATTTTTTACTTGATAAATATAAAAAAATAATATTCTTATTTTAAAAAAATATTTTTTATATCAACACATCAAAACAATTAACATATAATTCTAAAAAAAATCAAATTTGGCTAAGATGTTTTTTTTGGAACGCCTCTAGGTGCTGCAATAATTACCCTGCTAGCATAGACATTGATTCCATTCATAGCTCATGGTCTCTAATATAGGCCCAATAGAAGGCATTCGATGTGGGCTTCCTTGAAGTTTTCATGCGACTCGTTTGTATCAAAATTTATGAATATGCCCCGAAGACAACCTCCGATTTACGGGGCTGGACTTGATAATAATATCGAGTTTGAAAAAATGAGGACGACATGTTTCCTTAAAGTAACAAAATAAGTCGATATGCGTGATAATTGAATGGAAGTTCAATGGCCCAAGAACTCGCATCCAATCTCTGCAGGCACCAAGTGCTAACCCACTCGTGTTAACTCACTTGTAAATCTTGGTTGTGGCTGTCTTTCTTCTCACCAACAAGGGCTCCTACGTTATTCGCAAACAAAATTGGTACGTGGCCCTGAGAGAGGTTAATTATGTTGCTGTTGTGGAGTGGTAGTAGCCCTGGCTTTCAAATTTCGCATGCTGATTCAAATGAACTTGGGTAGAGTTTTTTTTTATATTTTTTATGTTATCATTTTTTTTCCTTTAATTTGTTTATTATTTTCGTGTTTTTTATTTATGTTATTTTAATTAATCAAGTTTGAACCAATAAATTTTATTTATTTATTTATTAAATCCAGGCCAACCAACCGCGAAGCATTATGAACTAAAAAGCACACTCATTCAAGAAACAACTCGTAAATAAGAAATTGGGAATCCACTGGCTGAAATTTTTAGTGATTTGGGATTTTTTCCAAAACTGAATAGAATTTTTTGGATAGCTCTACAGAGGCAAAGATCCAATTGGTGAGACATCAAACTGTGCATTGATCTTTGTTGCAGAGTTCATTTAAATGCCCACAGACCAAACCAAAGTTTCAAAGAAAGCTCCTTGCACAAACCATCACAGTAAAGCAGACGGGATTTAAAACTTACAAATAACTGACAAACGTCATGATTTCAATCAATACGCATGGCTTTAACTGATGAAAGCTTATTGTTCCCAGTTCTTCAAAAAGTGTATAAAACTCACAAATTATAGAAACAAACTAACCAGGTCCCACTTCAGGAATGTGGTGATATGCTCACTTGGATTCGCTAGTTATTCATTGAATTCCTGCGATGAGATTTTCAGGCCATCCTCTGGGGATCAATTTTTCCCCATCGCTGGTGATATCGCTTCCCAGCTGGTGTCAGATGATCATCATACTTTTTAGTCTGCCCTTGTTCATCATATTTGTCCGTCTCTTTCACATCCCCAGCATGATCTGTTGATGATGTTGCCTTTCCATCTAACAACCTCTCCAAAATGAAACATCCTGCTAGTTAAAACCAAGAATTCATGAATCAAAGCCATATTAACTGATAACAATGAATGATTTAATGAACAAATTGTAGAATGCGCGCATCATGACATCGCAGAGAGTCGCTATATAAAAATATAGAGACCCCCCCGGCCCAACTCTCCAGCTTTCCAACAAATAGCACCTAGGAAAGAGCTTACTTTATTCAAATACTAATTAATCTTTCTATCAAAAATCACATTGTAAAATCTTAACGACAACATGACCTTTCATGCACGTAATGAAAACACGAGGATATTCAATATATGAACACCCAACATTTATTTTTATCGTTAAATGAAAAGAGCCTTTAACACGGAGAGCTTGTTAACCTTCAAGCAACTCACCATACAAGGTCAATGCACCAATATAGAATTCAAATAAGATCAAGTATCAAATATTGCTTTGTTACACTAAACTAATTTAGCTAGAAGAATTGTTAAGCAATTTATATATTTCTGTCTTTTATTTTCATTACATGCACAGGCAAAGCTAAAAAAATTAAATATTTTTCATACAAGAAAAGTGGCCAATAACCATTCTTTAATTAATTTGTTTTCATTATTTGGTGGCGATGACTTGACGTGTACAATGAGAGGCTATTTTTGAGGGTTGGGCAATCAAGCACAAAGGGATTGAAAGAAAAGCCCCCACTTGGCCACCCCATATGAGTGGTCAAAACAAGATTGGATAAAACACTAAACCCTTATCAACCGTATGTACATATGCCAATCGAATCCCCTCCAGATCATCCGACCTCACAACAACTGGGTCCTGCTTTACAAACTCATAAAACCCCAAATTCTGACGCTCATTAACACACAGCACACGCCATACTACATGCACTAACGCAAACATTCAGCCACTGCAAGCTCAAACCAAGGTGACAACCTTCTGGGTTCTTCTGGAAGTCATTTCCATGGCAGAGACCAAGAGATCCACTGGCACGGTCAAGTGGTTCAGCGCACAGAAAGGTTTTGGCTTCATTGCTCCCGATGACGGCGGAGAGGATCTGTTCGTCCACCAGAGCTCGATCCAATCCGACGGCTTTCGTACCCTCTCCGACGGACAGCCTGTGGAGTTCTCTGTCGGTTCAGGAGAAGACGGCCGCACCAAGGCCGCTGATGTCGTGGGCGTCTCCAGACCTCGCCGTCCTCCTCGTGGAGGCCGAGGTGGAGGTGGCGGGAGAGGGTACTACAGCGGAAGGGGACGAGGCGGCGGTTATGAGAGAGGCGGCCTCTCTAGGGGTAGGGGATATGGCGGCAGCGGAAGTAGCGGTGGTGCTTGTTTTAATTGTGGACGGTACGGTCATTTAGCAAGGGATTGTTATGAAGGTGGCGGTGGTGGTGGGAGATACGGTGGCGGTGGAGGCAGGAGATATTCTGGTGGTGGTGGAGGTGGTCGATGCTATAATTGTGGAGAGGAAGGGCATTTTGCGAGAGACTGTCCTAATGCTGATAACAAGTGAGAGAATGCCGGTGGTTTCAGTCAATGATCACACGACTGCGGTGTTTTTCAGTAATTCTTTCAGTCAATGATCCCCATTTATTAAGGATGCAAATCTGCATAGAAGATGAACAGAATTGCTTCCTGTTCTGTTAATTGGGTGTTTTTTTATATATATATATATATATTTATTTGGTAATGTTGGTATTGTTTGGGTAAGATATAGGTTCTTTTTTTATCGGTTATGTTTAACATGCAATGGATCACATTTTATCGGTTAATTTTAACCCTAATTTAAAGCTGGATAAATATTATAGGGGCGTGAATGTGATAGCCACTATTTGAAAGTGATGGCATGCTTCTTCTTTTTTGGATCTCTCTGTTGTGGATCAGATAGCACTTTTTATCTTAATAGTCATAAGTATTTGGTGAACGGATGACTATGCATATTCTTTATTTTATGGCTAGAATTCATGCAATCTTATCCAAAATTTGGTGGCCTATGAAAGGTTGAAAATGGATTTGCTAAGATTGGAGTTCCCCCGGGGCTAGACCAGCCACTCCCTGAAGGGTATCGTGTGTGTGGTCTTAATATCCCAAATCTCCTGTTTGGCTCCATGACATATCCGCAGTTTTGTTGTCTATGTTCTTTATCATTCACAAACTGGTACGGGAGATTATTGAAAACAAAGAGAAAGAATAATGTCAGATGAATGTATGCAATGATTACAAAAGAAGGGTATAATGTTGAGAGGATTATGTTTTCTTTGTTAACTGTAACATGCTGTCTCAAACACAGAATGATGCTTGCAATCTATTATTCCATGGAGCTGATCATAAAAGTTTACTAGTTCCTTGAAATTCATTCGAGTGCCAGCTGGTTTCAAGGAAGGCCCAACTTCACATTTTTCCAATTTGTGAAAGCCAATTCTCTTGTATTCCTGGCCATTATTTAGAAACCTCCACTACTGACATGATGGTGTTTTTCAGACTATAAGGATTTTGACGTGTGAGAGAGACATCATCACCTGAGTATCAAAATTAGCTCCTGAAATCATGTCTGATTTGTCCAAAAAAGTGTCAATATACATCCCATGTTTCTTTGCCCTCTTGTTTGTTTGCGTTGATATCACAGTGTTTCGAGTTCTGATGAAATGTGAAACTTCAGGATGCTGCTTCTTTGAATGGAGACACATATAAGGATTGACTTCATGAGCAGCTTGGCTCAATGTTTTGATGTGGTTTTAATTAATTATAGATCTGAAACGGGCGTGGTGAAAAGTTGTTTCTCTTATCATTTATTCCCAACCCCCTAGGTTTTTTGGGAGCAATCTTGGTTAATAATTAACAACTTAGCATACAGGCCTGTTTTGGTTTTCTTTGAAGAAATCCCCGAGTTAGTAGCATACAGGTGTGTGTTAGTAGCTTGCCTGTGTCATTTCTGCTCCATATGAGAAACGAAACGAAATTGAGAATTAATTGCTTGCTTTTCTTTATCCTTTTCTTTTTACTCAAATCTGTGAGTTGAGAATGGCTGGTTCATCTAGCTGGCCTTTTACCTTGGAGTTAACCATAAATTTGTCACAAACTGTGATACTTAATTGAGGGTTGATTGAATTAATTAATCCCGTTGTTATTAGATTTGATGGTGCAAAATTGATGCTTTCTAAAACATTAATTTTGGCGTCATCAATAAAGATCTTTCGATGCTGAAATTGTAGATCATATTGTTGTTAAGAGGGCATGTGGTTGTATTTTTTAGCTCGCACATATTTTTCAGAGTCTCCGATGTTTGCTGAAATGGGGAAGGCTCGCGGGAGTCATGTTTGTAGATGATAGGAATTAATTGAGTAAAATCTCAATACATGGGAACCTCTATTGAGACTTTTGGTAGATGGGAGAACTCAATCAGCTTGACTTGCTTTGTACCTTGCAGTTGCTTTGATTTTGGATATGGCTGCCAGCATGCTCTCTTCCTCAAGTGTATTTAATGCTCTATAAGAACGGAGGGCAATGTGAGAAGTCTTTTGTTGTTACTAATTAGATAGATTTTCCAGAGTACTTTCCTTGCTCTCTCTCTCTCTGCTATATCTTTTGACCTTTATTCTTGGGGTGGATTTTACGCTTGTGGGAGACTGGGGTTCCTTGGTTAATTGGTGTTCCGGTTTAATGGCAACTATTATTCAGTAAATATAATTGCAAAAAACAAAGCGCTTCGACAGGGACAAGTCCTGAAGAACCATGACGAAAGTTGCGTCTTTAGAAGTAGGCAGCCATAAAATATCAGGAGAAACTTCCATGAACCCCAATAGTTCTGACCAACAGAGCCATCCATGAGCTCAGCTTTTATCTGAACACGAGCCGCTGTACTCAGTCTTGAGGAATTTCGAGGGAATTAATTTCGAGTCACTTCTTTACTACTGGTCAGCTAGTGATTTGGTACCATGCACATGCAAACGCACAGAAAAATACCAGAATGAATAACTCTACAGCCTCTTCATAAAAATTCAACTGCATGAAATCCCCCAAAACAGGCATAGAAGTAGTTTCCATTTTCCAGTGTCCTGAATATCTTTTTGCCTATGACCTAACGTGGCTATAAATGCTTGCCACGGCTATTGACACTCAGTAAGCTAGGTCATATTGCCCAGATAATTTGGTTAAATTCTAGACTTCACTTAATTTTGAAAATAGAAACTTATTACTTCATAAAATCCGATACCAACATCAAACGACAAATATGCATGGGTCTAGGGTCTGGATACATGGTCGAGACAATCAAGCGAGTCCAGCTACTTGGCGATGCAAGTTGATTCACATCACATGAGTTGTGTCAGATTGTTAGAAGTGACGATGGAGGACCCACACCCGTGCACCTTATCTACACTATAGGCTTGATTTAGACGATCCCTGATCAAGATTTGATTCTTGCTCTACAAGCTTACAATATGCATGCATACAGTAAAGTTTAATTCACTTGATACTTATTATATTGTTGTTGTCTAGTAGATGATGTTGTTTTCTCTTTTCATCGGTGCTTCATGTAACAGTCATCGCATTTGTCAAGCTGGCAAGTTCTTGCTAGCTAACTCTTCAACATTACGATTCATGCATATGTTTTCATTGTTCATCATGGTATAACGAATGAGAGGCTGCTCTATCCTTTCTCCTATATATAATTTGAATCAAGTCGAACTCTCATTGCTTCTGTACGTACTTTTTACCTTTCGGATCATAGAATATGATGAGAATTGAGATTTATATATTTATAATTGCAGTGTCCTACTCTTGTATGCTCTCAGTTTTAGTAGTAAAACATATCAATGCATAGCAATTAATTAAATATTCAAAATGTTTTGCGATGTTTCTTTAAAGCCTACTATACTTTTTTCACATTTGTACGAAGAAGCTACACTATGCTATTGCCTCGCTGATTTGATCTTTAAGGGGAAGAAAGAAAAAAGGAAAAGGAACACCGATCTTCACGACCACTCCATGAGGATTAGGGACGTCCCCGCTGATCCAGGAAAGTCGCGGTTGCTGGTCAAAAGCAATATCTTGGTAAATAGCCAAATTCATTGATATTAGAGAAAGAAAGAAGAAAAATAATTCAAACATTCCACGACAGTGACCTGACATTCCTTGTCTTGAAGAGTTCTTAAAAAATGTGAAGGTCTCCAACTGATCAGTGACTGGTCAAATAGTTTTTATGGACAAACTGGGCATTTAGCATGGAAAAATCAAAAGAAATGGTGAATTCAAACATGCAAAAAGCTTTGTCGAAAATGGCGCCTCTTTTATGTCGTGGTTTATGACATTAAATAAATTGGTCAGAGTTCATTTAAATTTCATGACATGTAAGTTATTGTAATTTTAAAACATAATATGTTTATATACATATATATATATATATATTGAAACACAATAATTATATCATTATTTAGTAAATATTATGTTTTGAAAATGCAATAAGGTAAAAAATTATTATTTTATCGATTTTTTAAAATAATATTTTTACGTCAAATATTTTTTCAAAAAAAATCAGTTCTTAGTGCATCTTCGATCGAATGACAGTTCCCCCTTCCAATTATTTGCTCTCTTGTTTGTTCAGTGCTGCACTGCCTCTTTTCACCCTCCCTTGCCATGCACACCATCGCTTCTTCGGAAGTAGTTTATTGTCCACGAGATGGTTTTGGATAAGGTTTTGAAAGTCGAATATTTGCTTTTGAGTTGCAGAGTACGTGTCCAGTGGTAATCAGTAATAGTATTGATTGCTCTTTGGAGCTTTTGTCCATGCATTGACCATTATCTATTGTCAGATTCAAAGTCACTGTAGCCTTAAAGGTTGATGGTCGTTATAAGCCCACCAATTCCACGGGCCCATACTCTTTTCTAGATGTTTGTGACCCACAAAACCACAAGGCCTTCGCTTTTAATAACAGCCCACATCACATAAAATAAGTACCGCATTAAAAAAATAACGTATTATAAATTAAAATCAAATTATATAATTAAAAATAAATTAAAATTTTATGAAAGAGTTAATAATAAAAATAAAAAAAAAATCAAATTAGAATTCTCCTCAAATCAAAGAACAATTTTGAAATTTTAGATAGCTATAGTGAATTTAAAAAAAAACAGAAAAAATAAAGTTTTTCAAACAATAAATTGTATTATCATCAATCACAAGTGTCACCATCAAAATAAATGTCACCATGAAAATAAATGGATGTTGTTACCCTTACAATGACACAATTGAAGGGGGTTTTGGTAGTAAGAATACACTGTACATATTTTAGATACGAATGTCTTTTATATGCTAGTATATACAATGCATGTAATAATAATTTTTTTATTTAAATAATATTTAATATTTATTAGAAAATTAGATGGTTCTCTGTTTACTTGATAATTAAAAAAAAACTTCAAGTTAAAGGACTAAAAAAACCCTCATCACAAGCTTTAAATTTTTGGAACAAAGTATAAAATTATTATTGTACTATAGATGAAAAGGATAGAAGACAGAAACCCTTTTATTGCCAAATTTAAAAAAATTACCTTTAATGACAATGTAATCATTCACG